ACACATTGTCCTCACGTCCTCCGGAGATAACACTTCATGTGTGGCATGGAGAGTAACACATGCAGGTAACAGAGGGGGTACAGTTCTTTAATGACACGTGTCCTCAATGGTTATATCTTGTACACGAGGAATACTAATCAGCTACAGAGTGTAGAATTACAGAAGCACAGTCATATGGTGATCTCCTACAGGCCAAAAATGCATAAATGTGTACCTTACTATGAATATGATTTGACAAGGTAAACAAAGTTCTTCTTTGCTGCAGCTGGGATGGATTTAAACAGCATGTTCAGAGTCACAATCTGTTCACGTTAAACAGATTTTACAGTATTTTAATACTGCATTGTGTGCATTTCACGTCCATCAAGCTTATTCAATATAGAACTACTATTGTAGTTCTTTTAAAATTACCATATAAGTCACAAATGAAACTCTAAACTGTGGGAAACATCTACTGAGTCACAATTCTTTCCAACATGAGCTGCGTTAGTGTTGGGAAAATATTTGTTTTCACAGCTGAAGAAAATCCAAACGTCGTCCTTGGAGACAAAAACAAAACCAATCTAGTAAAAGTACAAGTTCACAATTCTTAAAACAATTATCAGAGGTCCAGATGAACACTGAAACAGGTTTTTTTCTTGACGTAATGATGCCGATCCCAGCTGACATTGGGCGAAGGCAGGGTTCACATTCACATCTACAGGAGGTTTAGAGTCATCAATTAATGTAGGGTGCATGTCTTTGGACTGTGGGAGGAAGCTGGAGAACCCGCTGCCGAGAGGAGAACATGCAAACTCCACCCAGAAGAGCCGTCCAGCCCGGGGATCGAACCCACGACGTGAAAAGATCCTCTAGGAAAACGCTTCCAATGTCAGCGATGGGGGACAAAATCCTTGTTCTGTGCAAAGAAATTACCAAGTTCATCTGAAGTTAATATTTTGGATATCCTCCAAAGTTACATTCTGTTCTGTGTAAAATTCCCTCTTTGTGTTCCCGTAGAAGGTGGTCAGTTTCAATCCATATGTAGAGCACATTTTTACTCCATCCATTACTGCTAATATTAGAAGTTGGTTCATCGAGATAAACAGTTGGTGGCGCTAATTCTCCAGTCGGGTGCCATTAAACTGTTGTAGAAGAAGAGAAGACGTACTTAAAAGACCAAATGTTGAGAAACCCTGATGGAAATGTGCATGTTTACTTTACACGAGAACAAACATTTCTTTACTTTGAAAGCAAAGAAATGAAGGTATCACAAGACCTGATATGAAGTGATATAACGTGTCCCCTGAACGCTGATATGAACTGGATATTAACAAGAAGTTACACAACAACAGAGTCCACGGATTCACATTGAGACGTACAGTAAGAAGGATGAAATGGTCTTCTATATGACGAGCACATGTTCCTCACACTGTGTGTGATACAGTCAAGAGATCATCAAGTCTGCAACAACGCTTTCACTCACATTCATTGTTGGTTACTCGCCGCGTGAATATGAGTAAAAAAGCTAATTATTGGAAAAGATTGTTTGATAAATATTTGAAGAGTCAAAAGACTGCAATGCAGCAGAAGTTTCTTTGAGTTTGAAATGAGAGGGTTGGTGTTTCTTGGTGAGCCAGAGCAGACCAAACATCTATGAGATATGACGAGTATCCCAGAGGGGGAAACTCCTCCTCGGACTTGTGTGCAAATCTCCCTCGAGCTGCTACGGGCCGGTGTCTCGGGGGAGGTTGATGCTCCCGGGGTGAAGGTGAAGGGCAGGGAAGGCAAACGGGTCAACGACACCGTTCAGGGAAACTCTGGGGATCTGTGGGAGAAGAAGCAGGAAAAGAACACTGAGGTTATCCTGAAAACTAAAAACCTTCAGCTGGATGAGACTGTAGTGAGGTGAGGTCCAATCAGAGGAGGGATTTGATATCTGATCAGTACAGAATCTTTGGTGATGTGAAGAGTTTACAGATACTATTGTGATCCTCCCTGAACTCATGTAAGACTCATCGGGTCTTAATAATGACAAACCTGTTGGAAACCTCCAGTTTAGAGTCAAACAGACCATAAAGCAGGGTATGTTTTAGGGCGGGGCTTACAGTGATTGACAGGTCTCTACCACAGACTTATACGGCGTCTCTACGGCACTCCTCCACAGTCCAGATATGGTCACTTCCTGTTCATTGGTTGCAAAAAAAGCCAAGAAGGCGACGGCGAAATTGCCGAACTCAAGGCTTTTTTTTTTTAAAAAACAACATTTCATCTTGTATATCTACTTAAGGAAATTCCCATTCTAAAGTGTTTTAAAGGAGTTGTATCCAAGTATCTAAGTTCATGCATGATTCATGAACACAGACTTGTACTTATTATTCTTAAATCAAAGAACCAGATATTTTATAACCAAGTGATAATTAAAATTGGAGAGTTTCGTGCACATACATATATATATATATATATATATATATATACATATAAACTATAAGTGTCTTTACTTTGTGTCACTAGAGGAGGAGAGGCTCATCAAAACAGAGTAACAACCGCCTGAGCCATAAATAACGTGTTTTCAAAAACAAATCACAACCATCTGGACAAACAGTTGGGAAGCAACCCGAGCCTTTCCTTTTCCCAAAATGAGTTTCTAATAGTTTTTATTTTACCTGAGCTTCACCGTTCCAACAGAAGAATGACGACTGTAATGATGCACTTTCAGGAGGAAATTGTGATGGAGCTGATCCCGAGCTGATGTCGCCCACATCTGTGTACATCATCATCTCATCGACGCCTCCGACCGCCGTGCCCGGATGGGGCCGGCTGAAGGGAGCGTTCGCGGTTCCTCTGGAGCACGAAGGTCCCAGAAGAGGCCCGTTCTGTGTGGTGGGAACGGTGGCGGCGTTCGGTGTGCGACCGTCTCTTTTCTCGTACATGCAGCTGCCGGATGATCGAGCCGTTGAGGGCACGCCTGCTGTGTGTGAGGGATGAGTCGGTGTGTGATGGGGAAACTGTTGCCACACCGACTGGCTCTGAAGCTGCGGCCCCGTGCGAGTCTGCTGAGAACCAGTCAGTGTGTATTGCACAGTTTGGTTCGAGCTGCTGTGGGTGTTGTTGGTGTTTTGAACAGCGTGGCAGGATTGTGTTGACATCGTTTGGTTGCTACAGTGGTGAGAGCTGCTGCTGCCTGGAGGCCACAGTGACGAGGTGTGTCCCTGCGGAGCGTTACGACACCGTGTGTGCGCCGCCCCGTGAGACACAACTTGAGAAGCACCTTTCAGTGCAGCCGGATAACCGACGGCACTGAGAACGTCTCCAAACGGAGCCGGCTCTGCAAAGACAGCCGTGGCGTCCGTGGTTTGCTGCCACTCGTTGTTTGAAAACACAGACCCGGGATGCTGTTGGATGGATAACTTGTTGAAAGACACAGAAACGTGATCTGAACCCTGCGCAGTCTCTCTCCTCAGAGCTTCCTCCACATACGAGAACACGTCGTTGGCCAGGATGGGATTTAGTTCCCTCGATACGTCTTCCCTCTCGTCGTTCAGCCTGGCGAGGGTGCTCTCCCAGTCCCTCAGCTCTGCCTCCTCAACTTCAAGACCCTCTATCCCTCCATCCTCAATATCCCCCAAAATCTGCTCCAAAGAGTCCATCATGGCCTCCGATGTGAGGTCCCCCGTGATGGACCTGGAGGCCTGCATCTGGCCCGGCACACTGAGCAGAGCGTGGCTGTCCAGGAAGGCCCACTCCGAGGTCGGCTGGGGTTGTTCCAAATCCAGGTCCTCTATCTGGGTGAAGATCGGGAGCTGGGCACTGGGTTCCTGCGGCTGGGTGTAAACAGAGTGGTCCTGCCGGCGAAGGGATCCCAGGAGGGAGGCGGGGTCCAGAGGTTTCTCCATCGCGGGCTCCGTGGTGCCCGGTGCACCGGAGCCAGGAGGATCCGGGATGGATTCAAGAGAAACGTCGTACAGGACTCCTTCACCCGTGGCGAGGTTGAACGGGAGTTGCTGTCTCCTCTGGTGCAACTGTTCCTCTCCTTCTTCGTTTCTGCAGAAAAATAGATTAACGCTGCAAATTATAATACTGTACTTTTAAATCCTTAAATCCTTAAATCAGGGGTGTATGGATTTTTCTTCAGAAGAGGAGGTTCTTTCACCAAAAGCATTTCCTGCATTTGTACATTTATTTGAACTTACTTCTCCTGCTCTACATAATAATAGGAAGCCCGAGAAGCAACAATATCTACATTTTTAATACGCTGACCGTAATTCAAATCATGTTTCGTCTCGTGAGACTTTACGCTTACGTGAGGGCCTTCTGGCGAGCGATGATGAAGTCCGGTCTCCCTCCCTTGAAGACGATCCTGGCATTGGCCTGAACCCACAACCAGCGCCCCGCTTTGGTCAGCAGCCTGAAGAACGTGAAGCCGCTGTCTCCAGTCTTCATCACTGCGGACGGTGAAGGCAGTCAGGTTAACGGCAGCACTGTAGAGGTAGAGAGTGTGTGTTGCAGGATAACTCACTGCGGAGGTGGTTGTCAGCGCAGTACATCATGTCGCCGGCGTGGATGAACTGATAGCCAGAGCCCGTTGTGACTAACTCTATCTCTGTATATCCTAAAACCAGCTTCCCTCTGCAAAGACACACAGACTGTTACTGAGGCTGTTCCTGGAAAAGCATTTAACATATTACATCATATTAAGAGATTCACCAGAGGTGCCAACCTGGTGTCTATGCCCACAGGAGCAAAATCCATCCTGTGTTTGGACTGGAAGATGAGGGTCTTAGTCCGGATCGCCATGACTGAGGGAGGCTGCAGAGGAGTGGCGATGGCAAACAGAGCCAACTGAGGAGGAGACGCGTTTCCCTGCAAATGGAGGTACTTCAGACGTCCGTTGAAGTTCAGAGCCTAAAGGTGGAGGAGACAGAGTTTATGCCAACAAACAAATCAAGTTATGCTAGCAGCACATTGCTCTGTGGACGGTCCATCACTTGCATGTGGGGCGTCAATTTGGTTTATACAATTTTGGTAACAATTGAGGTCACTGCATTTTTTTTTAATGATTTATGGCATTAGAACTGTGTTATTCTGCACAAAAAACACTTGTGAGTTCTCTCTACTTCTAGCCATGATTCATGTTTCCATAGAGGTGCAGGACTGGTGTATATTGCAGTGAAAACGAGGTAAATGGCCCCAAAGCTGCTTGTGGTTCAATGGACGCTTTGCTTTCATTACCAGGAATCCGGAGGCGTTGTTCAGGAGGCACCGAAGGCGACAGCAGAAGCTTCTGTCCAGGAAAGAGGAGTTCTCTGGGGGGACGTACTGAGGCAACGAGCTCCCGGAGCTGCTCAAAGCTTTACTGCTCGACTGGCCCTCTGCAGAGAAAATAACATCTCAGCGCTGTCACAAGGGGTTCACGTGGACGAATCTAGAGACCTGAATAAAACATGTTGTATGTTTGTGACGGGTAGATATCGACGAGTTGAACTCGTACCTTGTGCTCTCACGTCTGACTGCGAGTCGCTGGGTTTGAGGGCAAAGTGGAGCTGACATCTGAACATCTCTCTGTCCTCCATGTGGACGAGATCGTGGACACTCTGGTGGACCACATCGGACTGACGAAGGGAGGGAAGTTTATATTTACTACAAGTACAATTAGAGGTACTTTACTTCCATTTTATGCTACCTATACTACTTTATAATCAGGTTTATTGTCAAGAAGGATTTCAAACACACAATATTTGCTTTAGTATTTTGGTGCTCAACGAAAAACAAGTACAGCAAAAGTCAAGAATCACAGATATAAAATAAATAGTTATCAATAAAATGGATGAAAAATATATTCTAAAAACAGCAGAGAGGAGAAGCTCTGCTTCCACGGTGGACCGGTCTCTGCTGGAGGATCTGGGTCTGTCCACGGTGGATCAGTCTCTGCTGGAGGATCTGGGTCTGTCCACGGTGGACCGGTCTCTGCTGGAGTCTGAGCTGAAGGAGGTTCTGGTGAACCTGCATGAGTTCATCTGGTTTCACCAGAATCCGACCCGGTGGCTCCGATGACGAGCATTAAGAATAACTCTATAGAAACAGACCATCTTCTCCCTGATGGTCTCTTTACTGATGGAGGTCTGATAGAGGATCAGGACTACACTGAGACTGGTTCGTATAGAGGATCAGGACTACACTGAGACTGGTTCAGAACCAGTTAGAAGTTCCTCACAGTAACTTTAAGTAAAGCTTCTCATCACTGGTACAAAGACAGATGTTTACACTGTGTTCTACCTGATGGAAGCCCAGGAAGTCCTGGATGGTCGGTGATGTGTAGAATATCGTTCCATCAGTCGTCACGACCAACACAAACCCGTTTAACGCCTGCAGAAATAACGGAAATACAAAATCACATCCGCCCTGACACATCCACGCCTACTTTATGCACGCTTGTAATGCAATGCTTTGCTCTGTACCTGGAGCAGGAGTTCCCCCTCTGAGAAAGTCACTCCATCCAGAGACACCGACTCTCCATTTCTGCCGTTTGCAGACACGAGAGGAGCCGACCTCACGTGCATCTGCAGCGCTGCTGAAATATACCAAAGAAAAGAAATACTCGTGAGATTCATGTTCAATGTCCTGAAGACCCCTGAAGGGAAGAAAGTGATCTCAGGAGGACAGAAACATATTGAAGTGGCAAAATATGTCTTTCAAACTACAAAACTGAAAATAAATGTTGTGTTGATAATAAATCTTGAGCAATCTAATCTATGATCACCGGCATCCTGTCAGCTAAGTAACACCTCCTTTCCTTTCCTACAGTAATGACTCGATGGCACGCTGACTAACTGCTCTCCTCCTTCCCTTCTCCCCTTTGTAAAACAAACCTGGATCTGCCTCTCGTCTCCCCCCCACTAACAAAAAAACTCCAGGAATTTGCCCCGTCATCTCGGTCAAGAGCAGCTTTCTACAAACTCAGGAAGAATCGTTTGTTTTCATAGCACGGACTGAAGGCATCTCAGGGGGGTCCGCTCCGCTCAAACCGGTGGAATTCATCAACATGTGGCGGAGCGTTGAACTCAGTGTGACGACCCAAAAAAGTGTGGACACAATGTGCGACAAAGAAAAGTGATGCACCCTGAACAAATAGGAGAGTTTTAACGAAAAGTCTGGTTTCAACCCGAGTCTGTAATCTGGCCTTCCTCCTCCGGTGAGGAGGGAAGCAGATATTACTTGATAAGATGAAACTGGGATAAGACCTCGTCTCTATAAAAACTACAAGACTTCATATAAGCACTGACACTTCAGAGAGAAAGTTCATCAAAGTTCAATTCTTTACTTCTTTTCTGTTAAATCAGCATTCTTTGATGCAACGACACAAAGCCGGTTAAAAAGCAGCAACGGTTCCTTTAAGTGAACTTCTTCCACCACTGAACTCTCAATGTACTTCAATGCCTCTCTCTCTTTCCAGTCCATTGACACAAATGACCTAACGTATTAAATCAGGAGGAATTGTTCTGCCTTTCTGCTTCCTTAATGCATCAACTTTCTATTTTCAGCCTCCTGAAACTCTATTAAAACACTAATATTTGTCCACATGAAGCCTCAGCCCAGCAGATTTATTCTGCAGCAAAATGCAGTTAACGACGGCGCTGACCTCGCTGCAACCTCGTTATCCACAAAAAAAACAGGAAGCAGACATCCTCAGGAACAAGCAGCTCCACAAGAACTCCCCGTGGTGTCCCACTCACCACGCTACACCCAGGTGATGGAAGACGCCTCACCTGGGACTCATTCAAGGGAACAACAGGTGAGTTTGTGCTCAACCTTCCTGCACTCACACACACACCTTAGGTTTCTTTAAAGTGTTCTGCTCATTCAGTACATTCGTTTCTATTTATAGCACATTTAGTTCAGAGTTAAGTTCATCTTAAAGTTTCTACTTTCTATTTCCTTTGAGTTACCAACTCAATACTTCAACTATCAATAAATAAAAGACATCAAAGACTGCCACGAGGACTTCATCAAGGCTTTGTGTTGTTTTTAAGGCTTTGTTGTGTTCAGAATCGACCCGTTATGGGTCTGGTCCCTGAACAAACATCCTCCACAATCGGAGGAAACTGCTGTGGAAGATTAGATGGAGACGTAGACGTCAGGAGGCGACTGAGAGGCCTTTTCTGTAAAAACAATGAAAACATCTTTCATCCTCGTGATCACCGGCGTCGGCCCATCACTTTGGTCCAGACTGAAATATATCTCAACAACTGTCAACAACAGGGATTGTCAGGAAATGTTGTACACACGTTCATGATCCCCAGAGGATGAATCCTACTGACGTTGATTATCCCCTGACTCCTCCTCCAGCGCCACCGTGAGGTTTACCTTTTGGGTTTTTAGTAAAACTTCTCAACAACTGTTGAATGGATTGCCATGAACTTTGGTTCAGATATTCCCAGTCTCCAGAGGATGAACTGTACCAACTTTGATTAATCTAGTGCTATCTAGTGAAATATCTCCACACCTACTGGGTTTACTTGCACAACATTCTATGCAGATGTTAATGGTGTATTTTAACGACTGGTGAGTCTCCAACACTTTGGTTTATGACCAAATACCTGCAAAACTAAAGACATCCCCATCAGCCTCAGCTGTAATTATCTTCCCCGCAGCTCGTGATGTTACATATTTAACATCAGTCCACAAAGCAATGAGTGACGTCACGATGACTACGTCCACATCTGATATACAGTCTGTGAACTGGACGAACATCAAAGTTGAGCAGATAACACGTTCACAATAAACTGCATGACGGCAAGAGGAAGAACGCGTCGATGCAGATTCAACTTTCATCTGATGGGCCTCGTAATGACGTGAACCTTCTCCTCACCCAGCTCTCTCTCTCTCTCTACTCTCTCTACTCTCTCTCTCTCTCCTTCTCTCTCTACTCTCTCTCTGTTTCGATTCCCCTTCACTTTTTGCAAACACTGAATATGTGTTGCAAAAACAACAAAACAATCTTCATATCCAGAACAACATCTATCTCGTATGGTGGCGGTTGTATGATAAATAAACACAGTGTGTTAGCTGTTCAAAGGCCTCGTCCAGAGCCCTCATGTCGTGCCACCGTGCTTCACCCCCTCTGTGCCGCCCCCCCCCCCCCCCCACACACACACACACACACTCTGCTCCATCAACAGCAGTGATCTGCGATAGCAGAGCAAGGAGAGGCACAAAGAGAGAGAGAGAGGAAAGGCCTGATGGACTCCGCTGCTCATCTGGTGGAAAGTCTGTGGCCGCGATGGCACCGGTTACTGTGTAATTTAGTTGTTTTTTTAAAAGCGTATATTTAGGTCGATTTTTGGCAACAGCTGGATGCATCTTGGTTTGATTTTAAAATACCGTTCAAACTGTGCACACAAATATTTTAAGTATAACTACACATAAATATCAGATTAGTGGTCACTGGTGGCCGGAATATATTGAGACCGTTTGTCCCCAGTTTTGGTAATTAAGTGGTTTCATCCAAGCCGGATATGACAATTTACAATTATGGTGGCCGATCTGACGGTGCATTGCTACTAAAAATCAGGATATTTCTCTTTTTAATGTCTCTTTTGAGTCTTCCAACTTTATGGAAGAGCAATAATACATTTCTAGAGAACCTCCTTTATTACATGACAGACATCACTTTAACTTTTAAATTAAAAATAACCCAGTGAGCTCATGCAGGACGGCAAAACTTACAAGAGCACAGCTGGTGTTATTCTATATTTGTCCCATAAAAAGATCCAAACCAAGAATGTGTTGGTCCGTCTCTCAGTGCTTTCCCCGTCTTCCTGTCTGAGTCCTTCAGCCTCACGACCATTGGTTCCTACTGAAGATGTACATCTTTAAAATATCTCATAAATATATGGCTTCATTTTAAAAAAGGAGATTCGTTGGGGACTATTTTCAGCGGCGGATGAATCCACATTTGGTGCTCTAGTGAGTATTTGTAAATAAACTCAGTGTGTTCATGTGATGAAGGCTCATTGATAGAATAATAATAATAATAATAATAATAGAGCTCTATGGAGAACAGGAGGAGGAGGTATCAGGGTTTGATTCACTCACAATCGTTTTCATGGGATTTGTTGACAATAACAGAAATAAAGAATATCACCAGACTTGTGCTTTGATTTAATAACATCTTTTGCTAAACAACAACCAGAACAAAAGACACTGGACCCAGCTGTCGGAAACTCAACGATGTACCAGCACGGTGCAGGCAACCAACTGCCACCTGTGTGTGTGTGTGTGTGTGTGTGATCAGCATCAGAATAAGGACCTCATCTTCCCGTCTGTATGCCTCCTGTTGCTTTGCATAGACCGCCCCTGCAGCACACTCTCCTGTTTCCCCTCCCAGCAGAGCGAGTATTCATTATTCAGTGTCGGGTTCCCAAAACACTCAGAGCTCAGCCTCAAAAACGTCTGGAGCTGCATGTCTGCTCACCTGACACACATACTGCATTATTACTGTCCGCTAACGCCAGGGGTACTTAAGTAGAAGTACTAATACCACTAACTAAAGTTTTCGGGAGTACAACGTACAATATTCCACTCTGAGATGTAGTGGAGTCGAAGTACAGTCAGCTAAACCAGTACTTGAGTTGAATACTTCAGCTGATGTACTTGATGACATCCACAGAACTGCGAGGTGGAGGTCCACTGACCGTTGAAGTAGCTCTTAACTTTGAGGTACCCCACACTGAGCCGGAGCACCGACAGCTTGTCCAGACGACCTCTGACCTCGTCGGAGAACGGCAGCATGCCGGTGAGGCGGTCCAGCTCTCCGTTCAGACGGTCCCGGTGCCGTTTGGACGGATTGGTCTTCACCGGCGGAGTCTTGGCACTGAAGCGACACACACAGAGACAAAGAGGATTTGTTGAGAGATGCTTGCTTGCAAAAACTTGTTCGCTCCGCTCGACAATCTATACAACACACTTTTGGAATTTCCAGCTTGAGTTTCAGTGGGAGTCTTTTGGTACGAGGTTGACTCTTCACATGCTGTGACGAGCTCTCGTGTGTCTGTGTGTCAAACTCTGACTCTTCCTGTTCATGAAAACTATTTAAATCTCGAAGAGACGATGTTTGTTGCTGCCAAAATAAACCGCTGACCACATCAAACGCAGAGGCCGAACGTGTGGCTCATACTTTTGTTATTACAAGACTGGAAAACACACAGAGAGAAAAATGTTGTTTGTTTTACTAGTAAGAAATATGAGATTTACTGAGAGTTCATCACTGACGCAAATAAATTAGGAAGCAGTGGTGGAAAGTATCAAAGTACAGCTTCAGGTACTTTATGAATTAACATTTCTGAATGCAAAAACACGTGACAATGTACAATTCCATTAGTTGATTGATCAACAAGTAAATTGACAGATAATTAATTGAACTATTTTGCTAATCATTAAAGTTATTTTTTAAGCAAAAATGACAAATATTTGATGGTTCGAGCTTCTTAAATATAAGAATCTGCTGTTTTCTTTAGTCATACAGTATTGTATCCTCGATCTGAGAAAACACATGAAGGCGTCATCAGTCAGAGTCAGCAGGGTTCATCCTCTTGGGATCATGAACGTCTGCACTAACCTTCATGGTAATCCAACTAAAAGTAGTCGAGTTATTTCACTGTAGACCGACAGACGTGTGAAGATAAAACAATACAGATATCTGGAGAGGAACAGCACATACAGAGTGACATTATGACTCTGAGACGGAATGTTATTATTACCACAAATAACCACAATGTCATTCCTCTGTAACATGTCGGGACACGCTGCAGCCTCACCGACTGAACACTGAGAGCTGAGGACAGATGCAGGAAGAAGAGGAGAGACAACGTCGAAGGAAGGAATGAGGAGATAAAATGACAGAGAGAGAGAGAGAGAGACAGAGAGAGAGAGAGACACAGAGAGAGAGAGAGAGAGAGACAGAGAGAGAGAGAGAGACACAGAGAGAGAGAGAGAGACAGAGAGAGACAGAGAGAGAGAGACAGAGAGAGACAGAGAGAGAGAGAGACAGAGAGACAGAAAAAATCTGAATTTAGAGTGGAAAGGAAAATAAGAGACATGCAACTTAAGAAATTGAAACACCTAAAAATAGGCGAAAGTCTTACTTCTTTTCATATATCAGTTACTTATTCAGTCTCCAGCGAAAAGATACTATTTTAGTTTCAGTCTAGTTTGAATGAAGTCTGTTTCACGATGATCAGTTAGGTCAAATGGAGTCTGGTGGTTTTGAGGAGAACATGTATCGATTGTTTCTTTTCACATATAACTCTGTGAATAAAGAGTTAATTTCTACCAAACCAGAGTTGGCGACTGATGGAACAGTGGAAACACCAGCCAAGCAATGACATTTAAGTTGTGCAACTTATTTAGGTCATCCTCCTCTGTTCACTGTCGACTCACAAAGGAGAAATCAAATTATGAAATGATTCCATAACAATCAAAAAGGATCCTACAAGCAGGCTGTAATGATTTTAGATAATGCAGACGTATAGATTTGACTCATTAAACTAAAGGAAAGGCTCGTTAGGGAACTCTCTGGAGTCGAGTCAGAGCTTTGGCCTGTGATCGGCGTCCTCGTCGTGGGTAACAAAGAGCTCGACTTGGCTCTGGACCCGGAGCTGCCGGCCTCGGGTGGGTCGGGTTACTCGGGCAGCTTGTGTGTCTTGGAAGGAGGTTGGGCACAACAAGATGTCGGGCGTAAGACGTGAAGAAGAAGACCTGAATGCAGATGGAGTCTTACTGGTCAAAATAAAGCTGCTTATTATATTGTCATCAATTCTCTTTGTCACCGTTGTTTTCAGAGTCGTGGGCGAGACTTCTGATCTTTGATTGATGCAGTGATGGAGGAAGTACTTAGATGCTGCACCTCATAACAATACAGCTAGTTACAAGTAGAAGTCATGCATTCAAAATGTTACTTCAGTAAAAGTATCTAAAACTTAAAGTATTAAAAGTAAAAGTGCTCAATGCAGAACAATGTGACTGTTCTTCTATTACATATTCTATCATTAGATAATTATGACTCATTCATTACTGTAAAAGCAGGATTTTACTGTTTTTATTATGGCTGAATCTGCTGATAGTTTTTTCCATTAATCGATAAATTGTTTAGTCAAAACAGTGAGAAGTGCAAGTATTTTGATGCTTAAGTAGTGACCATAAGTAACACTTTTAATGATCATAACAGAGTATTTCTACACTGTATTATCACTCCTTTAATGACCACCATCACCTGCCCGACTCAACCTCCTCTACCCCTGACGTCATTACCATCACCTGCCCGACTCAACCTCCTCTACCTCTGATGTCATTACCATCACCTGCCCGACTCAACCTCCTCTACCTCTGACGTCATTACCATCACCTGCCCGACTCAACCTCCTCTACCTCTGACGTCATTACCATCACCTGCCCGACTCAACCTCCTCTACCTCTGACGTCATTACCATCACCTGCCCGACTCAACCTCCTCTACCTGACGTCATTACCATCACCTGCCCGACTCAACCTCCTCTACCTCTGATGTCATTACCATCACCTGCCCGACTCAACCTCCTCTACCTCTGACGTCATTACCATCACCTGCCCGACTCAACCTCCTCTACCCCTGACGTCATTACATCACCTGCCCGACTCAACCTCCTCTACCTGACATCATTACCTTCACCTGCAAGACTCAACCTCCTCTACCTCTGACGTCATTACCTTCGCGTGACCTTCCGCTGCAGGTGAACTATCTACCTGTCCGACAAATCACTCATCACTGAAGTAAAAACAAGTACAAAGGATTGGTAGTATAACTACCACTACTAATACTACTACTACTAATAATAATAATAGTAATACTAATACTAATACAGTATTAATGGGGGTGAGGAGTGATTGGTCCATTCGGCAGTGACCCTCTTTAACCCGCAATCGGTTCACAGAGCCCGGGCCTGTTTTCTAGGCTTTGGTGACACAATAACAGTTTGTTATTTAACATTGAAACTGACCTTTTGGTAGCGGGCTTCTTCCTCCTCTTCACGGCGTACACTCCACTGTTCCCCGGCATGGTGGCGCTACACGTTCTCCTCTAACTTTATCTCAACTCTCACTTCAAAGAACAAAAATAGAAAACATTAAAAAGAAAAGTTCGTTTATTTAAACTCTCCAGACGGTCGCCTGTATGTTCCTCTGTCCGTTCAAAAAACGGGTTATTTAACTGGAACTCGGCTCAGGAGAAACTCCCAAATCCATGAAGTGTGGCAGCATTCTGCAGCGACCGTGTCGTTCAGGAGCTCCTTTGAAGTCAACAACTTTCAAAGGGAAGTAGAGCAACACACACACACACACACACACCCCCTCTGTGTGTGTGTGCGTGTGTTCTTCTGCTTCAGCCAATCAAATCCCCTGTACCGTCACATCTTCTGTCTCTCCCTCTGTGATTGGTGTACAGCTTCTCCTTTGTCCTCAGCTGTAAAATACACAAACTGTACGTGTAAAAGTACTTTTCCTCGTTAAATATAAGTTACTCATGAAGATAAAGGTTGTTTCCTTCCTGTTCAGATTTACAGTTTAACATAAAAAGAAAGGCAGCTCAACTTTCCATCGTTTTTCTTTAACTGCAAATGTTTCTCCACCTCCTGATAAATGTTGTGTAACGCTGACTCCATCCAGCAGCAGCTCAAGTGATCACAGGTTCATTTCAGGAGTGAATAAAAGAGCAATATTAGTGGAAGAAGTACAAATCAAATCAGTACAATCAAATAAAACAAAGAAAATTAAAGTAATAGAAAACAAAAAAACGTCATAAAAACGTCAAAACAAAGTAAAATAAAACTAAACAATAAAAGTTAATTAAACTTATATTATAACTATAACTCACCTCAATCACCTGACATTTGGTAACACAGTGGTGGAAAGTAACTAAGTATATTTACTTAAATTACCATTTTCTAACTACTAATCAAGTAAAGTAAAAGTACTTCAAATGTAAAATGAAGTAAAGTACGTGAGGAGGTTTATGCAGCGCTTTAATCACCAAATATTATTATCAAAATAAATGATTTGTTTTTATAAATGTGACAGTACCGGACAATTCTTCCACGATATTCAAAAGAAAAATCACATTCATGGCATCATCATCACTATTATTATTATTTTAAACAAACTACAGTTTCCCATACAGGAAAACAGCATAAATCATGATTTTGTTAAAATCAAAATGAATTCTTCAACAAAGGCCACAGCTGACGGTCAGAGAGAAGACGTTTATGTTTTTCAGTTACACAGTGGTATTTGGATGAATTGACTCCTTTGATTGTTTGATTATTAGGAGGACATAACTGGAATGTGATCCTCAAAACACCAGAGACTTTGGTTTCTCCCAGGGGAACTCCTCTCTGCCAAAGTGACCGTAGCAGGCGGTGGCCTGGTAGATCGGCCTCTTCAGACCCAGCTCTCTGTGAGAGATAAAGTCGTAGCGCACGTTTATATTTACGGGAACAGAAAACACAATAAAAACATGAGTTTTTTCTCAGTTGTGGTGAGCGAAACACGTACTTCACGATGACCCCGGGCCTCAGGTCGAAGTTCTTCTGCACTATCTGCAGCAGCTCGTCCTCGTCTCTGTTCGATGAGCCGTAGTGGAACACGGAGATGGAGAGCGGATGGCTCACACCGATGGCGTAAGAGATCTAAAGGAGAAACATACGTCGTCATTGATCAGCTATCAGAACATCTTCTGACTTCGGGTCATTAAGGAGCATCGCTCATCGGACACAAAATAATAACCTGTAAATTAAGGATCTTCAGTCTCATTTTTGATTTAATATAAATGTAACAGAAGCTGAAGTAACATTTCCTGACACAACAATGTGTTCACAAGAGCCTACAGCCATGCTAGCTGATTTAAATAATGTTCAGTTCAGTTAAAAACAAACAGATGTTTTAACCGTAGATTGTGTTTCTACTCATACATCTCTCTAACCCTCCTCACCTGAACGAGGACTCTCCTGCACAGCCCGGCTTTGACCAAAGACTTGGCGACCCAGCGTGCCGCGTACGCTCCGGACCGATCCACTTTGGAGTAGTCCTTCCCGGAGAAAGCCCCTCCTCCGTGCCCCCCCCATCCTCCGTACGTGTCCACGATGATCTTACGCCCCGTGAGTCCTGCATCACTCTAATGACACAAGAACAGCATCAACTTCTGCTTGATTGATGTCTTTTTATTACATTCCCCCTGGTTCAGTCCTCACTCACCTGTGGGCCGCCCCTGAGGAACTTCCCGCTCGGCAGCAGGTGGTAGATGGTCTTGTCGTCCAGGTACTTGGCGGGAATGACGACCTTCACCACCTTCTCCATCAGACTACGTCTGATCTCCTCCAGGGTGATTTCTGGGATGTGCTGCACGGAGATGACCACCGTGTGAACTCGCAGAGGCTCCATGGCTCCAGAGTTGTCTATGTACTCCACTGTGACCTGCAGAGAAGAGGGCAGGAAGCTCTTTTTACTCCTCCGTGTCAAAACTAACTGCACAGTGAGGATGGAGGAGATGTTTGTAAGGGCGATTATATTTAATGTCACACTGTCTTTCATTTTTGGGGAGCTGTGAAAAAACGTTCCCGACTGTTGCGGCTGCAGTCTGGAGTATAAGATTGATATACTGTAACATAACTCGTGTCCTTTTCTGCACCTTTCTGGGTCACTTACGGTAATTCAGACATGTGGTGTTGGGGATATCAGCTGTTCAGTATTTAGTTCTGTGAATGGAAGGAGAGGGGTGAGAGAGGGAGTCTTATTCTGCTTTTGATCGCCTTCGTACGATGTTCTGAAAGTCGTTAGAGCGTTTTTGTTTGTGTTGTCCTGCAAATAAATCCACAAAACGCAGCAGCTGGATCTGTGAATCATTTGACGGTCAGCGTGTTAAGTCTCCCCTCCTCAGCCTCTCGGTGACTCATTGTAGGTTTCAGGCAGTCACCCATAACTCGTTTTGCCCGAGTGCTCTCTGTTGTAACAGGAAGCATTGAATTCAGGTGAAGAAGAAAACAGTTTAAAGTCATATTCTCATGCAAAGATTTGTATATTAGCAGGAACGTAGTACAAAATAATGGTGCTTATCATTTTGGTCATCATCGTGCAGCCCTCGTTGTTTTTACAGTATGTTTTTTTAGGGGTTTTGAGCCGCTCCAGACATTAAAGATGTATTGAATAAAATGGGTCGGAGTCAATCCGTCGGTGCCTTTAACCCCGTGTGTGTGAGCCCCTTTTTCGGCTTTTCAGACGGCTCACTTGTGATTTGGAGTCCGGTAGTATCCACGGACACTCTCCGCTGAGCGACAGCTCCCTGATCCTGTAGTTGAGCTTGTGAGCCAGCAGGATGGTGAGCGGCATGCACTCCTCCGTCTCATCGGTGGCGTAGCCGAACATCAGACCCTGAGGAGACGAGCAGGTGGACACAGACGGAAAATAAAGTCTGAGCTGTCGTGTCAAAGGTTTCCCTTTAAATCTTTAAACTGAAGTAACTGGCAGCTAGCATGGCTGTAGTAAGGAAAGGTTAGTTCAGCTTCTGTTACATTTATATTTAAAAGTAGCCAAAGAAAACACACCCCAATGAATGACAACAATCATTGTATGTGATTGTATTGAAAATGTAGCTCCAGCTGTGAACCTGGCAGTTTGGATAAAGTTGATGGTGATGGTTTGGAGGTGAAATACTGCACCTGGTCTCCAGCCCCGATGTCCTCCTGATCCCTGCCTTCAAACACACAGTCCGATATCTCCTCACACTGCGGCTCCAGTGCCACCAGCACATTGCAGGTCTTGTAGTCAAAACCTGCAGATCAAAGTTGGAACTCAGTCACTTAAATCCCAGAGAAAAAGGTAGTTATTAAATAAGAACCCTCCCACCTTTCGAAGAGCCATCGTAGCCGATCTTCTTGACGGTATCTCGGACCACCGTCTGCAGATCCACGATGGCCTTAGATGTCACCTCTCCGACCAGTAGGACCATGCCCGTCTTCGTCACACATTCTGCAGCAAAACATCACGTTTGTACTTGACAACAATCCCACTCAGGCTTTTTTAGACTTTTGTGTGAATGCATTGCATGATCGCAGTTTCTTAAACAGTCAATTCTTGTGTGCTGAAGTCTGGAGCAGAGTCATTGAGAAGAAACTGAAAAAAGTCACACGAAGAGAGCACAAAGGGAACGTTTCAGAGGGCGTTAAATGCATTTAATGAGCTTTGAGGAAGCCAGTGAGATCTGCAGGGCAAACACAAATGCAGCCTGAGTATTATTGGCTGTTTAAAACTGTTAAAGCTGTTAATATGTCACCTTATTATGTTTTTTTATATATTTTCATGTGAGCAAGTAACCATTTAGATTCCCAATATGTGGTCAGATTATCCAAATAATGCATGTTTGGAAATGTGTTGCATCGTTTTCATAGACCGGGTTAAAGGTGCAGTGTTTAGGATCTAGCGACATCTAGTGGTGAGGTTATAAACAGCTCATTCTAAGGTAATGAAAACACAAAGATTCTTGTTTTCAGGTGATTATACACCTAAGAAAACATACTTAATAGTATATTTAATTTCTGCCAATATATACCCTTAAATGCCACGCACTGTACCTTTAAGAGCAGTGCGTGAGCAGCCAGCACTCAGTCGATGTCAGTATCAAACAGGTAAATAAAAGGTATTTTAAGAACGGGTGAGTCAGCGCAATCCAGAGAGGTCTTTAAGCAAACAGCCATAAATGAGCACCTAAGGAAATATGATGCAGTTTGGTGCAGCGGTATGCGGTATTAGCCGTGGACAGACGCAGAGTTGCACACTCACATGATGAACAGTTAATCCTCCAGTCGGTTTCACCTGGATGATAAACATTGAAAACTCACCACAGGCCACTTTAGAGTCGGGGTCTTGACTTAGATACGCATCGAGCACAGCGTCACTGATCTGATCGCACATTTTATCTGTGAACACAACGTCAGACATGTAAATAAATACATGAATACTGATACCAATACTTCTCACAACTTACTGAATGTGATGTCATGATTTTTATGCACAAGATAAATAAAGTTTAGTGACTTTGGGGCTCCGTAGTTTAACAGATCTTAAAGGAAATACAGTTAAAAAACTGATGATAGGTAACGAAGTACTGTCTTTAAGTACTTTTTGAGTATTTCCAGTGTTGTACATTTGTTTGACAACATTAGCTACTCTGTATATTAAGATTATTAATATAAATCAACTAATATATTATGATGTATTATTATAAATTAAACTACTGAGCAGTACATAAAGAACACATTAATGCATCAATATTTATAATCCAGTATTATAATATATACTGTATATAGTATTCTGCATGAGTACTTTACAAGAAGTACTCAGGACTTTTACTTAAGTAAAAGTAGCAATATTACAGTGTATTAATACTATGTTACAAGTAAAAGTCCTGAATTCAAAATGAAGAAAACCTTAAAATTGATAGTACTTACATTACAAGTAGCGACACAAGTACTCAAATAGTTTACTCAAGTAAAAGCATGGAAATACATATATTATTGTAATGTTGCAGCTGGTAAATGTGGAGTTTATTTTCACTACTTTGTTTACTTTTGAGTAGTTTAACATATAATAACACATCATCATATTTTAGTTGTTATTAAAGTAACTGAAGCTGTTAAATAAATGTAGTGAAGTAAAATGCATGGTATTAAATGTATGATGATGAAGTTTAAAGTGGCATAAAATGGAAATACTTATGTAAACAGTACTTGTAGTACTTGTAGCATGCTCAGTTACTTCCCACCACTGACTTTAACAGACAGGCATGTCCAGACAGTGTACTACCGTAGTACACACAGTAGTACACACAGTAGTACACACAGTAGTACACGCAGTTATACATGAACACAGTACCGGAGTGTCCTTCTCCGACGGACTCGGACGTGAACAGGAAAGTCTTCCCGCTGCGGTGCGCTCCGCTCGGGTTCATCTTCGGCTCGTCGGTCGGTGTCGGTTCTCGGTGCAGAGAAATCCTGAATTAAACGAAATTAACGGCCCCGTCGCACTTTAAGTGAAAGTAGCTTCTGATATTCGCCGACAATGATTATAAAAAAACAATAATTAACTCTTTGTCGGTGGAGATTAAAAGCATTTCAAGATTTACGACAGGCGGATTAAACGTAGAGCTATGGGAGACAACCGATGTAACGTTTCACCGGTTGTCGTAAACGGTTGATATTATTAATAATAATAATAATAATAGTAATGGTAATAGTAATAGGGTGATAAGTACACGCCGTTAAGTACTCATCGCCTCATCAGTGAGGGTCGTAAACGGCTGAGAGCTGAGGGAGGCTGTTTACAAGTTAAGGTCCTTCAGGCAGCAGCACGGGCAGCCTCAAGATGGCGTTGACGCACTACGTTGAATTAAATTAAATTAAATTAAATTACATATATATATTAAAGATATATAATAAAAAATACATACATTTAGTAAAATTAACGTTAAAGTAAAATACATATTACAAATTAAACAATATAAAAAATAAAACATTAGAATATAAAATAAAGATTAAAAACACAATACAAAATAATCATAAAAAATAGCGTAACTATAATAATAACTCAGCTCAATCACCTTAAATGTGGTAACATATTCTATATTGTCAGTGGTGGAAGACGTACTTAGATGTTTTACTTAAGTAAAAGTACCACAGTGTAGAAAAACACTGAAGTAAAAGTATTGCCATCAAAATATACTCCAAGTACCAAAAGTAAATTTACTGATTATGCAGAATGGCCAATTTCAGAATAATTTATATTATATTACTGGAGCCAGTAAAGGTGGAGCTCATTTTAACGACTTCATTGCTTCATTCAATGCTGTGTACTTTAATCTATAGTAATAAATCATAATTTAGAATTATATTTTGTATTATTAATCTAAATAATCTGCAAAGTAAGTAGTAACTAAAGCGATCAAATACATTTTGTAGAGTGAAAAGTAACAAAGGGTATTTGCTCAAATTGAATTTAGGTATTATTTCGAGATAGCCCTGATTGCTGTCTTCTGTTATTTCAAGTTTTTTGCAACATTATAGTATTATTTCTTATTTCAGAGTAAAGTAATTTTATATTTCTTGTATTCTTGTTACTTTTATTAGACAGCTGTAGTAAATTGACCTACGTTACAGATTAAGAGTTTGCCTGGAAAACATACACAATTTGTAGTGTTGTTGTATTGGATTACATTATATTGACAGTCTTATCTTAACGGACAGAAACACCAATGTGTGTGTTGCTGTTATTTATGTACACAAACACTAACAACAGTCAGAGAAACTGCTTCTCACAGAGCCGAGTGTACGACTGTGTGTTTGATAGCTGAACAAAAAAACATCATCATAAACTTCCCAAGAGTCAGATTTATTGCAGGGTTGGTAATAATATGCAGTATATCCACGTGATCTGTTGCTGTGGCCGTTCCTTGTATTTAACCCCTAAAATACTGGAACATTGTGCTCATGCATTGTGTTCTAGTGCATTTACTGTTGACTTACAATATCTTAAAACAGAAACGTCTTAACTAAACAAAGTCCATGATCACAATGAGTACTTGTGAAAGAGACAGCCAGCGTGCACTTTCATACTCACATACTGCACACAGTCTTTACAATTGGTCTTAATTATCTTATCTAAATAGTGCATTAATTTACTATATATTTCTATTTGACTTTGAGCAAACATATGCCTTCACTGTTTATTTAGTATTTGACAAGCGTTCACTGAAGTGCAGCACACTGCAGTGTTCAGTCTGTATGACTCATGAAGATCCTCTAATCAAGGAAGGACATCTCGTCCAAAGTACTATCAGAGCATGTCTCCACCTGTTGAAAGGTGGATTTAGGAATGCACTTTATTTGTACAGTTAGGATATATGAATGAGATTATCTCTTGACTTCTAAGTACATTTAATCAAGTATTATACAACTGTGAGGTACTTTACTTGAGTGTTTTAATTTGATGCTACTTTATATTTCTACTCTACATCTCAGAGGCAAATGTTTAAAATGTTCTCCACTACATTTATTTGATCCCTTTAGTTACATTGCAGACATTGTAGATTGATAATACAAAATAGAAATCTAAATTATGACATACTATCATACATTAAACTACCCGGCAGTATATAAAGTAATTATAATCAGCTTCATATTTACCAGCTGCAACATTAAAGTGATGAACACATTAATGCATCAATCATTATAATTCAATAATATTAATTATATTATTCTGAAATGGGCCATTTGAAGGACAGGTGCCCAAACATATAATCTATTTATAGCATTTAGAGTATTTCTACACTGTAGTATTGTTACTTTTTAAGTAAAACATCTGAGTACTTCTTCACCACCGCTTAATTAATTTGTAGTCGAAGATTTTAAAAACCTATAAGATATAAAATACAAAGCGTTGTTATTCAGTAGAATACATTAATACAATTATCTCTCCAGCCAGCTACAGTATTAAAATACATCTCACGTGTTACTGCATCAATAATAACAATAATCTATTAGTGTAACACATCATAATGTAACAACAACAGAGCACATTTTGGCAGCATTTTACACTTTTTAAGTTTGATTCTAAATGCAGGACTTGTAACAGAACATTTTTAAATTGTAGTATTGCTACTTTTAAGTAAAAGATCTTAATAATTCTAGTTATTGCTGTTCCTCTTCACCCGGATCTCTACTTCCTGGTGTGGTTGTGATGATGCACACTGGTCATGTTGGTTGTTGTGCTGCAATACTTGAGAGGAAAAAGCAGAAATAGAGGAGAAAGAAGTGGCGGTAGTGGTAACACGCATCGTGTTCACCATGGTCGCCATCTTAGTTTACCTTATTAGCAGCATGCTAATGTATGCTAATTAGCACAAAGGCTGCAGGTTTATGAGGTTGATCAGAATAAGTCATTCGTTTTGCAGGTATTGTCCTTTAAAAACAGACTAAAGACTTTACTGTTCATGTCTGCCCTTTAACTGAATTTGTTTTGCCTTTTTATCCATCTTTTATGATTATTATCATTATAATAATTATTGTATTTCAGACTTTTTTGTTTTTATTTCTATATATAAAGTATATATTTTATTTACCTGTTTATCTCTTTTTAACTTTAATATGTAAAGCACTGTGAGCTGCGTCTGTGTTTGAAATGTGCTTTAGTTTTTCAAAAGGTCATTAAACGTCTGCCTTTTCCTTTTCAGTCACATTGTATACTACATATTCCACTGTTTATACTTATTGTATTGTGAGTATACTCCTAATATTCAAATAAACCCAGTGCTGAACTTGTGCTTCAAAACAGCACATTTGCGTTCATGAGCTGCTGCTGGCTGCTGAAATAACAAGCTGCACAACACAGGATGAGGAAGTGAAGCAACGGAGTGACTTCACCTCTTTATTGCCCTGAAAATATCTCTCTGCTCAACACAGAGCCCTTTGCCCAGAGGTATCAGCTCAACACTGGTCCGGATCCTGCTCCTCTGACAGCTGATGGTACGTAAACACACGGAACATTAACTGAAATGTCTTCTTTTATTGTTTTAAAGTCTTAAAAGGGTAGATGAGTGTGTGGTAGTAGAGTTCATGAGAATCAGGAAGTGAAAGTGCTGATCTGAGTTCTTTGGCTCCTGTTGAAGCCAATGAGACTCAGATTGAAGGCAGTTAATGAGTAACACAGCAGAGGTGCAACCTTCAGCAGACATTTGTTCAGCTCTTACTACTGTGACTCATGCAGCCACAAGAAGCTCAGATCTCTGCGTCCGTTCATTAGACCTGGAGGACTGGATAACTTTGTGGAAACTTTATTTATTTCTTTTCGTATGAGTTCTGTTGTTGGTGACAGAGAAACACAGCTGTGATGGTAGGTGGTGTACTTTTAATACGTTTAAATATTGTTTCTGTATCTTTTAAAGATGCTTTTCTTCTTGATATTATCTATAAATCATTCTCTATCGGTCTGTCCACGTTGCGCGTTGTGATCAGCAGGTTTGCTTGAGGTTTTCATGTGATAATAAACACCGACTGTTACAGGAAGTGAGGTTTGGTCATTTAAAATGACCACAGATGTTGTCGATCTTTGACTTCCTGTGTGCTTTTTCTCGTTGCTAAATTTGTGGAGATTCTGACTAAAAACGATTTCATCCCAAATGTTCCCCCTCAGGCTGACACACGCACTCAGGCCCCGGCCTCCGGCTCGGCGGCTAAACTGGACACGGTTCAGGGTCAGGTGAACGAGGTTAAAGTCATCCTGAAAGACAACATCAGCAAAGTGCTGGAGAGGGGCGACAGACTAGACGATCTGATCGGGAAGACCAATGGCCTGCAGGCGTCTGTAAGTATCTCATCATGACGAGCTTTACGTCTTTATTTATGATTCACTAAAACAACAAGGCTGCTGGAGGAAAGTACCCAATCTCATTCACTAAAGTACCGCATTTTCAGATACTCTGTACTTAACTTTATACTTCTACTCCACTACATTTTAGAAGGAAATATTGTACTTTTTACTTGCTATGTCAGTAGTTACTTTTCAGATTAGGATATAACATAAAAAAACATAAACGTTTATAAAATACACTGGTTTCAAACCTTTTCTTTTTGCCTTTTGACAACTAAACTGCTTTTGTTTTGTCCTGTTAAGAGTTAATCAGACTCTAAACTTCACAAATGGTTTCATTTAAATCAAAGGTTTTTAACCTTTGATTGAAGATCCACTTCTGATTGTTAAAATGTTTTACAGGAACACCACAGAGGCTAAACGTGTTTTTACCTGATGATGTGATGGGCGTGGCAAAACTGCTCATAGAAATGATGCATTTTAATTTTTCTATTCATCTGATTAATTATTGAGCACGTTTACATTAATCATCTCACGACCCCTCAGATTTATCTGGTGACCCTTTGGAGGGGCCCGACCCCTATGTTGGGACCTCTGGACTAAACTATCTGACTATATGTAAAGTAGTTAAAGTAGCTCCACCTGCAGCAGCTACATGCTGCTCTAACGTTGATGCTTCAGTGTTTCATGTTTATCTGCAGAACGAGTTCTTCTACCTTTGATACTTTGAGTGAATATCACAGGTAATACTTGCCGGTACTTGTAGGAAGTACTTCTACATTACTGTACTGGTACTTTAGCTTAACGGAGTACTCCACTCATTTATCTTATATTATCAGATTCATGGTGGAAAACTGAAGCAGCAGATGCAGAATTATCATCTATTTATATTCCACTCTTCTTCCTGCTCAAAATATGACACCTACATTACCCACAATGCAACTCGACTGCAAACAGTTAGGTCTGTGGTTAAGGTGCGTTAAATACTAGTAGAGTCTAATGTAGCCTTCAGCCTGCAGCAGAGATGAGCAGCGGGCTGCAGAGGTCTCACTTCTTTCTAACTTCACACCTCCAGATTATTTTCCATTTTCAAAGAGAAGTTAATCAGACTTCTCTCTCCTCCGTCTGGAGACACTAAAACCTTTAAACACCTTTTCTCACATTCTGCATTAGAACTCCTCCAGACCCATCAACAGACTTTGATGTGTAATATTAGTGGAGCTCTTCCTTCATCGCTGCCCTTTTATTCGGTTTCTTTTTCAGGCCGACTCGTTCCAAAGAACTTCCACGCGGGTCGCCAGGAAATACTGGTGGAAAAACGTCAAAATGATGATTATAATCGGTGTGGTTGTGCTGATCATCGTCATCCTCATCATCCTCTTCGCCACTAAAGTCATATAAATAAATAAACCCTCTCCGTGTGCTCGCTCAGCAGCTCAGGACTGAAAGCCATGAAGAGGTGGATGAAGCTCACCTTCTTTTATTGAGCAGTGAAGACGCACTCACGCGAGTCTCTGGTCATTTCAGCTCAAACAAACAAGAGCAAAATATTTATTTAAATTCAAAGGGTGCACAACTGCAGGCTTATTGATTAGGCTGCGATAAAGCTACAGATGAGAAGATCAATTGTTAGAAACTTGACTGAAATACTTCCTTGAACACTCCACTAACATGTGACGTAATATTAATATTTCACAAAAAGGATCACAAATCCAAATGTTTATTTTTATTTTATCGCATTTCTTAATGTCCAATTACCTGTGTGTATATAAGCTTCATGTTTGACTGATGAACTCTGTAATTATGTGTATTTTATGACTGAAGACTACGATAAAGAGGATCAATTGTAACACTGCTTTGGTCTGCATTCTTTGCACTAAATATATATATATATATAAATATATATATATATATAAATAATGTGTGATCTGTTCCAACCGATCAAACATCTCAGTTGTGTAACAAACAAATTCACGAATAGCATCTGAGAACATTAAATACAAAAAACAAGAAGGGAAGAGGAACGCAAGCTGCTAACTCTTTGCAGCGATCTAAATAAATGCAAAACACCAACAACGTTGTTTTTTTGTTAAGATACAACACAAATACTCCGGTAAACGTAGAGGAAGTGTACTGCAGGTCAAAGTGCTCTTCGTTATTCTCTTACACTCAGCTCAGTGATCTTTGCTGGATACCACCATCATCACCACCATCATCATCATCATCATCATCATCTCTCTTTCTCTGGCCTTCGCTCCACCAGCTCACTGCTCTGAAACCTATGAAGAACAAACGAACACAGATCAGCTTCAGCTCAGAAACAAACAGGAATCCCCCGTGTTTAAAATGTCCAATGTCAAAACAAACAAACCGAGAACAATTAATTTAACATGTTACAGTTAAAAAGTTAGTCCATAAGCTAGAATTCCTGAAGTGCAATAAATTGAAGAAGTCAAACTACTGAATGGAAGAAACCTTCGATTGGTGAAATAGAAATACACATTACAGAAAACATTACATGCAAATTTTCTGGAAACTTCTTGTTTTACAAAAGGTTATAAGAGGAAAATTTGTTACAGGAAAATTAAGAAAAAAAGAGGAGTCTCTTCCATCGCTGTGAGTAACACAAAACAGAGCAGTACATGTAGACAAAGTAAAGCACTTCATCCCCCAAACACCGTCTCCAACCAGGTTTTAGCTCATGGACTACTCGCTACAAGAGCTCAAGAAACAAGCATGTAGATGAGATTAGGAAATGCATATATTAACAATAGGAACTGGATGCTGTGCGTATCCTTTGAAAAGCAAATAGTTAAATTAACATATTTAGAATCATTACTTGTGGGGGAAGTAAGGGCCTGTAAAAAATGACAATTACATGTGTATATCTGTTTAAGTTTTACATTACAAACAGCTGCAAACAAATAAAAGAATGGAAAGAAAGATGACAAAGCTGGACGTGTCCCATGTTGTTTAGTTTAGAAGTGCGGATACAGGATGTTGTAAGACCATACCAAATGGCAGCATTCGAGAGCGTATGCTTCTCGTACCCGGTCCGCATTGAGCGGGCCCTGAGAGTATCTGGGAGTCAGCTCATGGCCTGCAAGGAAGCTCCGCTGGCAGGTACAAACAAGGTATGTCAGAGTTAGGAGACAACATACTTCCTTTTCTGTTTCCTTGCACATCCTTAACTTTGGCATCCATTTACTGTAGTAGCAGTACTTTACCTGTTAACGTTACAGATTAAAAAAAAAGAAAAAGAGAAGGTGCAAAAGAGGCAGCAGAAGGCCGGCTGTTAAAATAATCGGCACACGTGTGTAGCCTCTATGTTACCACTACTGTAAAGCACTTGACGGTGCTGAGAAAAAGAAATTTACAAGAGGAAATTATACAAAATGTTACCAAACAGCAAATTAAATATAACTACTTTAAATTCAAAGTAACGGGTGTATTTCTGTCTTTACATACCTACTTGAAGACGAGTGTTTTTCCTCCGTTAATACGGCTTGTAATTGTTGGTGTGACCACCGCGCCGCGGCGACTTGCCGTATCCGCCGGATTGATCTAAACGTGTGGGACAGCATCTGATTACAGGTGTATTAATCATTTCACAAGTAACAGCAGACGCATGGAACAGCTGAGTGGGCGGTACTCACTGTTGTAGTCACCGTATCCGTAATAGTTGTTGTAACCGGGGTAATCGTAGCCGCCGTAGCCTCCGTAGCCTTGATTACAGTAACCGTAATTCCCGTAATTCCCATAATTCCCATAGTCTTGATTCCAGTAGTTGCCGTAACCCTGGTTCCAATTTTGATTGGGACCTGCAGTTAAACAAGTTTGTATTATTCGTAGTATTACTCGGAATCTTCACCCTCTCTTTGACATGTTTAAGAAGTACTTTACAGTATTTTTACAGAACTTGATTTTTTTTAGTTTCTGATTCTTTTGTGTCACATTTTTACTAAACAGGACTGTTCCATGACTTTAAGGGAAATCCTCATGAGCATTCATTCTCTCAAACATCTGTATATATATTAAAAACATAAAACTAAAGGTTGGAGTCTGACGTCATCCAACGCTGATGAACAACATAACGTTAATGATCTGTCTGAACATTAAAGAATAGTTGAACCAATAAGCTAAAGATGTTTCTCATTTGATCTTAACTGAGCCACAAATACTGCATTTTACCCAAAGCAGGGATTAAAAGGGTGCTTTATTCATTATTATTAAGTTTTCCTCCACTCACCACCGTCTCTTCCTCGAGACCTGGACGAGTATCCGCCTCTTCCTCCCCAGTACTGCTGCTGCTGGTACTGTTCCTTGGACATTGCCACTTTTATTTCACACTAAAAGAACAACAAGTAACTTTTAGCTCCACAGCGATCATGTCATCAACTATAAAACGCCTCAATCAGACTATTTATCAGGAGATTGAGTTTTCCTTGACAGGAGGAGGAGTGTGTACCTTGCTTAGTCCAATATTGTGGTACTTTTTCTCCATGATGCCCTTCACTGGCTCCTCCTCTTTGTATGTTATGAAGCAGAAGCCTCTTCTTTTGTTGGTTTTGTTCTCCATGGGAAGTTCAATGGACTCCAGCTGTTTACATTATCAACGAATGTAGAAAATAACATGAGTTAATGCATAAAAATATGATTCCAATGAGCCACAGCTTCAACTAAAAGCTAAATCTGTGAACGTTAATAATAAATATACCTCTCCGAAGGCACCAAAGTACTCTCTGACTTTCTCCTCAGGAGTGTCTGGAGAGAGACCCCCAACAAAGATCTTCTTCACGGGCTCCTTGCTCTTCATGGCCTTGGCTTTTTTGGGGTCAATGACCTTTCCATTGAGTTTATGTTCCTTATGTGTAACAACCTGCAGAACAAGATACATGGAGCTGATTGTTTGGAGTAAAGACATCTGACCTCAACGCAAATAATATTTGTTGTTAAGCTAATAATCAGACTGAGTAGCTGTTTTGTTTCATTTTATTATAGAACTTAAACTATGTTCATTATCAATCAATCTGCTGCTTAATTTGGTCAATTCATTTATTCAAAGATATTCAGTTTATAATGATTTACTACAGAGAAAAGCAGCAAATGATTAAAGAGGATAGCAGCAGTTTGTGCCTCTGCTTTATTAAAATGACATTAAGTCGTGAAGCTAAACATCAGATTTGCCTAAACCTGCTCATATTCTTATAATACAGCACTAATACAAGATGTATTCCCTTTTTCACAGCTTCATTTTACATGATATGTGCATGTAGCATTACATACAGATTATATATAAACAGTGTTTCTGGGAGCAGGACTATACCTTGTCAACACTGTCAGGTTCTTTGAAGAGCACAAAGCCGAAGCCCCGTGAGCGGCCGGTCATGGGGTCCAGTTTCAGTGTGCAGTCTACAACCTCTCCATACTTAGAGAAGTAATCTTTCAGGTCCTTCTTAGTCGTGTCCCAGCTGAGCCCCCCAACAAACATCTTCCTATTGACAAAACAGCACATTTAAAGAAATCATAACTCACAATGCAGAATGAGAAAACGGCACCTGTTTACTAATGTGTAACTAGTAGTGGAGGAAGTATTCAGACGCTTTACTTACGTCAAAGTACTAATAACACACTGTGAAAATACTTAGAAAATACTAAGATGAGGAACTAGTTTAAAGTGTAAGATGAGGGACTAGTTTAAA